CTGCAGGTAAAGTTTGATGAAGATTAATTGATATCGGAGAGGAACGAAATGGAAATATTGTAGAACAATACAGCGCCGGTGATGTTTGCCGTCGGTCCCGTTGCATTGTGTTCTCAAACATTTTTATCTGCGCGATGCTAGCTAAAAAGTAATGGACGCTTTATATCTCTGCTAATATTTCAGAGGGAGAAAGTCCGTGCGCTCGGGCTAATCTCGCGAACTACCGGATCGATCCGGATTCAATTTACTCGGGAACGCGACAGTTTTCGTATAGGAAACTCTATTTTCTAACACTTTTTCGTAATCATTGATTGAAACGAAATAAGCATACTCACCGACGATAAAAAAATTGAGTTTTCACGACTATCGTCTAGAGATTTTAGAATACTTAATTGGAAAACCCCGTGACAGAATTTCGCTGGGGACCGCGTTCGAGAAAGATCGCCGTCTCGAATGGGTTAAGAAATAAATCATAGAGGTCAAAGGGGACTCGACAGAGAAAGAGAACTATCTTTAGAAGTTGCAACATGTAGCGATGATAACTGATAGTGATTGATGGTAATCGATAGAAACTGATAGTAATTGAGAAGCCTGTTGACACCCGAGACTTCGGCACCCAAAAAGAACCGATAAATCTCCGATATCTAAAACAATACCTAAGATCCTGCTCCTGGATCTCCAATGATCCACTAAATATCTCTAAACATCGCTAAAGATCCAGTCCGATCTCTCGAGACATCGAAATCTTAACTGAAATCCCTCGGGAATCTTCCATCGCATGAATCGAGCATCAAGAGAAGAATAATCCCGATTTTCCGCGGAAATGATTCTTCTTAACAAGAATGTAAACCTATTCTCGCGATCGTAGTAATCTTGTAGTCGAAAATTTCGTTGAAACAGTTCCCTGGAGGCATTCCGCGCGCATGGGAATCTTTTTAAGGGAATCATCCGTTCGAATCCTCTCCGGTTACTCGAAATTCGCGCGATTATCGGGGGTGATTTAATTTTTCACCGTGAATTCTGCCTCTGGAAACACAGTTAGCGGAGTAATCTGCCGCGGATCAAGCGGTTCTTTTCACGAGAGGCACTTTCCAGCTCGCAGGATCGATCCGACGACGACGTCGGCTTCTTTCACGTCGAAACATCCTTTTACGGGAATGATTCCCCGCGGTTCCCATCGTCTTTGTGCGCGAACGATTCTATAACGTCCATCCGAAGTCCGGCTCCTTTTTCCTCGGTGTGGTCTTTTTTATGGGGAACCGATAGGAACGATCGACGTTCATCGTCGGCGGCGAGAAAAATCCCTTAAACGCTTTCGCCGGAGATGCCAGACGCGATAAATCCGCGAAACGTGCCGTTGCCGCCGGGAATCGGCGATCCCTCTTCAAAGCCGGCGAACATCGGTCTCTCGTAAACATTGACGGACGCTCGCGAGAAGAATAGTGGATTATGAAATAGTAAATTTTCCGCTCGCGCCTCGCGCACTTGCTCGCGCCGCCATTTCGCGGGCGTAGCTTTTATTGAGCGATGGATTTATGCGCTTCGCGTGGTCGTTTACGCGGTCGATGAGTGATGCGTCTACGGTGTGGGTATATTGGATCGGATCGGATTGAATCAAGGCGAACTAAAGTGAATTAAACCGAATGAAACCTCGGGCAATGAAACGAGATGGAAATGGGTGAATCGAAACGGAAACAAAGCGATGATAGTTCTAAAAGAAACTTACAACGCGTTGACAATTATATATGAGCTATTACTTTCCTTCAAACATTCATCTAAAACAAAAGCAAACTAAACCGAATGAAACCTCATCCAACAAAACTACATAAAATTAGATAAATCGAACCGAAAACAAAGCGACATTAATAACTCTAAACCACAAGCTTACAACGCGTTGACAATTATAAAATGGGCTATTACTTTTCTTCAAAAGTACATCGAAAACAAAACTAAACCAAATGAAACTTCACTCAATAAAACGAGATAAAACTAGATAAATCGAACCGAAAATAAAGCGAAATTAACAACTCTAAACCACAAACTCACAACGCCTTGACAATTATAAAATTCTCAAACATACATAAAACAAAGCCAAACTAAACCAAACAAAAACCTCATCGAAAAAACCACATAAAAGCACCTAAATCGAACCCAAAACAAAGCGACACTAACACTTCCAAAAGACAAACTCACAGCATGGTTACGAAACGAACAATCACCTCTCCAGGCGCACATCTAAAACTAAGTTCAACCTACGAACTTCACACCCAACTTTTCCCAGAAACGAATGGAAACTTTCCAAATTCTCCGCACGCCTACACAATCCTCGCCAGCTCTGACATTCGCAGAAACAGCGTCTCCGGCAGGCAATCGCGTTTCGCAGCGGTCGGTTTCGCAACCGAGCACGCGGAAGCGATTCCGCGATCGCGATCGGCTCGCAACACGTCGCCGGATCGTTCTCCTCGAGCGGAATGCCTCTTCTTCTCGCGCCTCCGCCGCGACCGGTGACTTTCACTTGTTTTTTTTCCTCTCCTCTCCTCTCCTCTCCCCCGCCCACCGACGAAACTTCTCATCCGAGGAGTGCTCTCCGCCGGAATGCTCTCCGTCTCTTCGTTTTTTTTCGCTCCGTCCGATATTCCGGCGACGCTCGGACGAGAAATTCCGCCCGAGCGATCTCCCCGCGGCGAGAAATCGCTCCAGACGGCGAACGCGCCGCGAAATATCGACGATATTCGCGGGGAAACAGCCGAAACTATTCACCGGAGTGGGACTCCGAAATAAGAACCGCCGAACGAATCGTCGCCGATGAAATTGAACGAACCTCCGATGGAATTGGAACGCGTAAATATCGCGGCAAGCGTTTTGAACCATTTGCCGGCGAAAATTCTTCGGAACGCGCGAAACGTTCAACGTGTAAAGCGAAATTACGTATCGATTGCTTAATTACGTTGAACGCCGAACGATTTCGTAGAGCGAAATATACAAAATGGGAAAAATGTAATATTAAATCGTTTCATCGAATTGCGTTATTATTACGTGTTCATCTAACTGAACGTCACCGCAATATGTAGTATTATTTATAATATAGTGTTTTCAAATAAGCAACGTTTAATTGAATAGCGTTAACCCTTTGCGGACGAATGTCGACATTTCGGCGAGATGAAACGTTCATATTTAGAAGACTAAGTCGCAGGAACATATTTAATTACTCGGACAGCAAGAGATTAATCTGTAGTTCCTGTTATTGATATTATTTAAGCAATTAATAAATAATTTAGCTTCATCTCTCGAATGTTTTCTACATTTCAAAGAATCTTCGTCCGCAAAGGGTTAAACACCACTCGATATTTCCAACGATTAAATCCTTGAGTTCCAAATGAAAATATGTCCTTAACCTTCGTCTCCCTTCATCCCCGTTCTCCATTCGATAATCCTCCAATCAAAAATTCCCTCTCGCGTACAATGAATTCGAAGGGAGAGAGAGATAAAGACTGAAGATCCGCTCGTCACGGATGGACGGCACGTTCCTTTTTTCGCGGGTCGATTAAAATTCATCCGGTAATTCGCGCGGCCTCGGGCCGTTCGCGTTCGATCGTTCGATTATTCGATTCGTGCATTTTCGAGCGCGAAGGGCGCAGCCAATAAGCTCGCGTGTCCGGCCTTGCCGGCGTCGCTCGCGACGCGAGGCCGTGTACTCTCTGGCCGCGCGAGCGACAGATGTTCGCCGCGTGACGAACGGTTTATTGTTTATCCGCCGATCGGCGTCCCGCCATATTCTAATTAGCCATTCGCCGATGCTCGAAGAATCGCCTCGCGGTGCACCGTCTGTTGCAACGGCCGCGCTCGTCGCTCGTTCCCTTTAACAAAGGGAACATGACGGTGTACTGGATCAGAAACGCTATTCAGGATAGCAGGCGGCCTGCAACTATTAATTGCAATGTGTAACACTCGTTTCGTCCTAATAAACGCGGCTAACTCGTTACCTTTCGATACTGTAACGGACTACCGAACGAAGTACGGAATTTCATTTAGCGATTAACGTGTACAGTTTCATTCGCTAGGCTGTTCTTTTACGATTAGGAAGATAAGAGATGCTTCGATGAGAGGTTACCGAGGATACTGATTTACAAATGATTTGAAATTTCAATGGACGGTAGAGTATGTACGAGAGAATTGAATACAGTCGAGTCGAGTGCTTTGTAGTTATAGTATTAAAAGTGGAAGGAAATATATGTAAAGAGATTGAGTGTTAATTTAGCTTGAATTTTGGTAAGAAAGAATAATTTTAGCTTGAATTTTAGTACTAAAGTGTTAATTTAGCTTGAATTTTGGTAAGAAAGAATAATTTTAGCTCGAATTTTGCTAAGAAAGTATTAATTTAGCTTGAATTTTGGAAACATACAAAATTATCCTATGTCTGAACATTGCTTACCCTATCTACTTAAATCGCGAATACAAACTTCCAGCTTCGATTCATTCGACAACGAAGCTTTATACAAAATATCATAACATCAGAATATCAGAATAGCTTTATAAGAATATTTTCAATTTCTCTCGTTCACAATCAATTCTATTCTCTCAAATTCTATCAGTAATGACGTCCCATGTATCTCGATGTGGAATACACTAATATTATTATTATAAGGCAGAGCAACGCGGAGCACAGTATTAGTATCGGTAATATTGTAAAATCGTTCTGCGAGGAAGATCATGATCGCTGAACGCCGAGCACGCCGGTGGAACGAGGCGAGCGGGACGAGCCGTTCGATGACCTCGCAGAGCGAGAGGAGTATCGCTCTTCTCGGGTTTTCACCGATACCTTAGAAAGTCGCGCGGCCGAGGCAGCCTTGAAAATCGGGCGCTCGCTCGAAAAGATGTCACGGACGATAAGCCGTCGAATTTCGAATGTTAATCCGAAAATCGACCGGTCGCGCAATATTAACGCACGCCCGGTCGGACGGCGAGGATCCGTCGTTTCACGGACGACGGGGGAATAATAAAAATTCGTTCGAATGACTCTCGCTTTTCGAATTTAAATAAAATAAAGAGAGAGAGAGATGTTTGCGGAGCGGAGATCGGCGGGACACGCGTGACAAAGTGGCGTTGTTTTTATGTGAGGAACGACGCTCTCGCGAATTATATCAGAAACATTCAATTTTCGAATTAGGGGATTTTCTGTTTGGCATTCGCGAGCTTGCTAATTGAGGCATTTTCCGTTTGGTGATCTCGGAATCTTCTGTTTGGGATTTGAAAGCTTGTTAATTGGGTGATTTTGCGTTTGAAATTAGGATTTTGTGTTTGGGATTTGAGAGCTTGTTAATTGGATGATTCTCTATGTGGAAATATGGGGATTTTTCTATTTAGCATTTCCAAGCTTGCTAATTGGATGATCCTCTATGTGGAAATTTGGAGATTTTCTATTTGTGGATTTCCAAGCTTCCTAATTGGATCATTTTTCATTTGAAAACCAGAAAACTCTTTTATTTGGGATTTCCAAGCTTCCTAGTTGGATCATTTTTCATTTCAAAACCAGGAAACTTTTATTTGGGATTTCCAAGCTTGCTAATTGGATGATTCTCTATATGGAAATTTGGGGATTTTCTATCTAGGACTTCCAAGCTTGCTAATTGGATCATTTTTCATTCGAAAACCAGGAAACTCTTATTTAGTATTTCCAATCTTACCAATTATACCATTTCTCATTTGAAAACTAGAAAATCCTCTATCTAGGATTCCCAAACTCGCTAATTAACTTTCCATATAAAAATCAAGGAACTCTCATTCAGGATTTCCAATGTCACCACCCACAATTTCAATCTGACCTCTTTAATTCACAAATCATAGAACTTCAATTCATACATTACAAATCCATAACATCCAAAACCGCATTACCAACAAAAATTCACTATACATCAACCATTCCATCCCTTCGAGTCCTAATCAACCCCAGATTATCCGACCTGACTTGCATATGCAGCCTAGTGGTGTTCTTCAAGCCGTCCAGATAACTCACACTATTATTCACAAAGTACAAATCCTTAAGAGCCTCCAAACCGCTCAAGGCGACAGGATCCACCTCGGTGATCGCATTATTCGACAGATCCAGCACCGTCAGTTCGCTCAATCCAAGAAACATTCCCGAGTCCACGGAGGCCAACTCATTCCGACTGAGCTCCAAGGACCTCAGCCTCGCCAGGTGCGCGAACGCGCCGGACTCGACGGCAGAAATCCGATTGTCCTTCAACATCAGATACTTCAGATCAACCAGGTCCACGAAATCCTCCCTCGAAACGGTGATCAGCTCGTTCCTACGCAGGAACAGCCACACCAGCTCGCCGAGTCCTCTAAAAGCTCCGTTTTCTATGAAGACCAGTCGATTATCCGACAGAGACAGCATATTCAGCGCACGCATGTCCTCGAAGCTGCCAGGTTCGATCCCAGCGATCTTGTTCCTGTTCAGCCAGAGGTAACGCAAAGAGGTCAGTCCCGAGAACGCGTCCTTGCCGATGGATCTGAGATAGTTCCCCTTGAGATCCAGCCAAGTTAGGTTCCTCAGACCGGCGAAGGCGTCCTTGGGCACGTGCGCGATCCTGTTGGACATCAGGTTCAAGCGATTCAGGTTCCCCATTTCGGCGAACAGGTGCGCCGACAGTTGCACCCTGTTGTAGTTCAGGTCCAGCTCCTTCAGCCTGGTCAGTCCTCTGAAGGACTCCCTCTTCGCGTCGGAAATTCTGTTGCCCAGACTGAAGCTGAGCCGCAGAGTCCTCAGGTCCTTGAACGCGTCCGCCTCGATCGCCCTGAGCTGCTGATCCTCTATGTCCAGGTAGTCCTGCGGCTCGCAGTAGTTCTCCGTCACCTCGACGAGCACGCCGTCGCTCCGGCAGACGGTGTAACTGTCCCATTGGCTGCAGACTGGCGGTTCGTCCTGGGACGAGGTACTACGAGCAACACCAGCGATTGCAAGGATGATCAGCGATGGTAGAAACATTCCGAAGTTGTCATCGTCCGGTTCGATGACTGTGGGAATGCGGAGACACGTGGAGGTTTTATGCGGAACGCTCGTATCTGTTCCAGGAAATTGCTACGACCTTTGACACGGTCGTCTACTGGCCGAGGAATCGGAGGAAATTGCAATCGACGCAAAGATAAGAGAAGCAAGCCGAAGACTCGTGTTTGTGAATAGATACGGTGTTCTGGGCTCACGAACGTGCTTCGTTTATTCTCGTTCACTGTGAATACGGTTTTGTTCGGCTGGCGTACGAAAGGGAGATCGCGGATCGGCTCCGTTCCTTTCTTCGCGAATAGAATTTTATTTAGCGATCGAATCGGGAATTTCGGGAATGGAATTCGTGACACTGATGTGGAAACTTGGCGCACGGTGCAAATTTCCATTGTGCTCGGTATTTGAAGCTGTAACGCGCGAACTGAATTGCGAATCAATTGAGATTTCAATGGATGCGCCGCTCGAGCTTCTATAGGGAGTGTTGAAAAAGTCGAGTCGACTGCTTGCGGTGGTTCTGTCGTTAATAAATCTGGTTTCCGTGGAATAGTGATTTCGAGCACCTAATTTCCCCGTTGTACTTCGCATGATAATGTGTCTGGGCGGGTTCGTTTCATACTGGCAGCTCGAAGTCGAGCTTAACGTTATTTCTAGCGAAAGTGTCAGAAGACAGCTTTAGAATTTTTATTTATTGGTTATTTAAATTGTAATTTCTGTGAAAATCCAATGGTCACTACTTTTTACCATGACGAGTATACTCGTACACATGGCGCGGAACGTGTTAAGACGAAAGATTTCGTCAACCCAACTTGAAACGTTCAAAAAACAATCCAACTGTCTTACGTACCAGAGACAACCGGAAACTTATCGGCGATATTTTCTCGTTCGAGAATATCGTCCCTCGTTTCCATCCACCGGGGAACTTTGCTTTCAACCCTGTTGAATTTTCCTCTTCCACTAACTCTATTTTGTCGCAATTTCTTTATTTCCCCCCGCCCCTGCCCGTTGTCCTTTTGACAGCCGCGTCGCCCTTCCTTCCAACGCGTTCCATTCATTATCCCGCTTTCCCCTCAAGTTTCCCTAACTTCCGGTCCATTCGCGAGCAGCGATTTATTCCGGTCGCCATTCTCGCGCTCAACGATTAGTCCGAGTGCACCGTGAAGAGGTGGACGCGGGCTGCAGTGAACAGTCGCCGAAATAATTAGCCTTGTTTCGGATCGCTGGATCCCTTAAGCAACGAAGGGCCCTTTGTAAATCATTCGCTCCGCGGGGAATATTGTTTCAGTGTTCAGAGACGTGTGAGATGTTAGAGAACGTGGTTTTATTATTTTATGCTGCATTTGTTAGACGTTTGGCACGTTGAATGTGACATCCGCCTAAATTGAATTCCTATAGTTCACTCAATTAACACTGAAGCTACCGAGCATTTAATACGACTGATATGTAAAAAATATAAAAATATAAAATTCTCTATCAAAATTGTAACAATATAATGCATTGAAATATTGGGATAAAAAAGCTTTGTTTCTCAATTCACTCGCGATTTCTCTTTCAGTTAAGTTAAAAAAATATCGTCCGTGTCTAGTTAGAAAATGTCAAATATTTCCAACGAAATACTTCCGAATGCAATGGGTTAATTATCCAGAATTAACCCCGCAAACATCTATCTCACGCTCCAGAGATGGAGATCTCGTGATCGAGCTTACACGGAAGATAAGCCGGAGCCTGCAGTCGCCACGCTAAAAAGTCCGAGCGATAAGGGTAGTTCCTCGCGCGCTCGGCGTGCGAGTCACGTCGCCGCGCCGGGCGACGGGCTACATTCTGAACGGGCGGCGTGGTCTTGATCGCGTGCCCGTCATTGAGCCGGCGCTGTAAATCAAGCCAGGACGTGTCCCCGGCGTGGTCCTGGACCGACTCGCACAAGTATCCGCTTTCCGAAAGCGATATCGCGTGTCCCCGCGCTTAAAAGCCGCACTTTCACCGCGCCGGTCCTTGCCGCGGATATCGCGTGTCGCGCGAAGAGATGACCCGTCGCCTTTCGAAACCTTAATTGTTAGCTACTCGTGGTTACCGTAATGGTGGTCGAGACTAATAAACTTGCATGTCTCGAAGGACCACCCGATAAGATCGGGAACGAAACTTAGAAATAAGTAGGAGGTGAAGTGGACTTCGACTCTAGTGCTATGCGCTCGATCGAAATTGCTACTCGATACTTTGTAATCCTTGCTTCCTACTCCGTACTCTGTGCTATGTACTATTTGAGTTGATGCTTGTCTAACTTGTTTCTAACTTGTGTTTCTGACTATGTGTATCCAACCGACTGGGCCTCCCAGAATCGTCCTCGACGACACCTGCGCAATGTCGTCTTCGCGGGGGTGAAGACGTTCCGGTTGGCCCTTTTAGATCTAGACGGTTGCGGAAGGGAGACACAGTCGCCTCCCTTCTTGGGTCTCCCGAGTTGCTAATGTTAATAACTAATTCGTCCCGTTTGCAATCGTCGACCGTGGCAGGTAAAAAGCGAGAAACGCTTTGGCCTTAATAACGCATGCTAACTGACGGGCTAGAGAGTTAAAAATGCTGGTGACTGGACGTCAGATGTGAACAATAGACAAGGACTTTTCAACAACTTCGATTTCTTGCAAGATCACAGCTAAGTTATCAAATGATAACCCCTAATGACGCGATTAACCCTTCGCGGACGAAGACGCTTCGAAATATACAAGGTCTTCAACAAACGAAGTTCAACGAAATATCAATTACTTAATTAATAGGAAAAAAGGAAACTGATCCCTTACTGTCAAACTAATTAAACCATTTCTCTGCGACTCAGTCTTCCAAACACGAGCACTCCGTCTCTCCGAAGTGTCATTCGTCCGCAAAGGGTCAAGAATCTCGCTGTATCATTTTCCCCTAAAGAAACTCTCACTTTCAAAGCTACGTTCAGTGTTCCCCATATTCTCGAATTTCCAGGGGAACAACTCCCCGTCCCGCAACGCGCGAGCCGACTTTCCAGCGGAAACTGTTAGCCGAGCATCCATCATCCGGCGGTGGAGCCCGGCGTGCCTGTGCGCGACGGTAACCGAGATTGCGCGGTGATTTTTCACGTTTTACCGGCGCGTCGGGTCGACACGATCCTCGAGAAACATCGGCGAATTCACGCGTCGCCCTCCAAAATGGCTCGCGGAACATTTCTCTCGAACGATGGGTTAGGTAGTGAGCTACACCTCGAGAAGTCGAAACCCAAGTAGACAAACTACTACAAAATCGATTCTCTTTTATTTCCACAATCGAAGAGGCGTTAGATATACAAGGAAGCCGAAGGCTTCAAGCCCACGGCCGTCTTCTTCAGATCGTGCACGTTGTTATTCGTCAGATACACGTGCGCGAGCAGACTGGACCCGCTGAACGAGTTGGGCTCCACGACGCTGATCTTGTTCCCGGACAGATCGAGCCTGTTCAAGCTGGGCAGTCCGCTGAACGTCGCCGACTTCACTTGCGTCAACCGGTTGTCCGACAGGTCGAGCTGCTCCAGCTGCCTCAGGTCGGCGAACGCGAGGTCCTCGACACCGGCGATCTCGTTCTGCTGCAGCTTCAGGATCCTCAGTTCCGTCAGACCCTTGAAGTCCGTCCTGGAGACGCCGGCCAGCTTGTTGCTCTGCAGAAACAGTCCGTCCAGCTTGCGCAGGTCGCCGAAGGTCCCGGGCTGGACGGACGTCAGCCGGTTGTTCTCCAGGTGCAGCCGCGACACCTCCGGCACGTGCTTGAAGCTGCCGGGCTCTATGCTGGCTATCTTGTTGTCGTTCAGCCAGAGGACGACCAGCGACGAGGAGAGTCCCGAGAAGGTGTCCTTGTCGACGGCGCCTATGTCGTTGTTCCCCAGGTACAGCCACATCAGGTTCGACAGCCCGGCGAACGAGTCCTTCGGCACCGCGTTGATCTTGTTGAAGATGATCGACAGGCTGCGCAGCTGCTCCAGCTCGGCGAACAGGTTCGCCGACAGCGGCACCACGTTGCTGTCCAGGTCCAGCCTCTGCAGCCTGGCCAGTCCTCTGAAGGACTCCCTCTTCACCACGGAGATCCGGTTGCCCAGGCTGAAGCTCAGCTTCTCGGTGGTCAGGTTCTTGAACGCGTCCTCCCTGATCGCCAGCAGGTCCAGGTTCTCTATCTCCAGCCTGTCCCCCGACGACAGCTGCGTCACCTCGACGAGCGTTCCCTTGCGGTGGCAGACCGCGTAGCCCTGCACGCGGTTGCAGGTGAGCGGCTTGTCCTCCGCCAGCGCACCGGCGATCAGGAGGATGATCAATGACGATCGTACGACTCGACGCATTGTGGCGTTGCTCTTCGAGGGATCGGTCCGCCAGTCACTGAATAATGGCCGGCAATCGCGGAGTTTATATGCTCTCGATTCGCGCGGGTCGGGACCTCTGACCGTCTTATCGAATGACAATTGCTCGCTCGGGGAACAAAGTTTCTTGTGGAGGATGATCTGGATCGATGTCGCTTCTGGCTCGTTCTGAGGTGTTGCTTGTGCTTTATTGATACTGATTGGTTTGGACTTAATAGTAGACTCGTCGATGAGCTAGAGTTATCTTTGGGTTACCGATGCTTGAATTGTGACGTTGTCGAAGCGATAATGGCCGATGGAGAATGCATTAAAATACGCAACAGTGTTCCTCGTAGTTCGCAGCCAATGGTTTACGACAATGTCGCTGAATCCCGTCGATGCCTGAGACATTAAAGTGCCCGGGCGAGCGGAAAATTGTAGCCGATTTCCCGCTCGCGCTGAATCCGTCGGAATATTGCCTCGATCGGAGGAAGATGCAATCAGCCTCTGTCTACTTGACGGAATATTCTCGGGGGAAAAGAAACAGCGACGAAGCGTGAACATCGACCGGCTCGCAGAAATTAGCGGCGGCAACGGGCGGGCGTAAACTTCGCTAAAAGGAATGCCGGGACGTTAAGTGTGCGTTATAATTATTTTATTGGACATTCTCATGGAAGATATTGCGTCGAAGATTATTACGGGAGATAAGTGTCTTAGAGAATGGAAACACCGTTTTATAGAATCGAAGCGAATTGAGTCGCCAATGCGGTTGAGCGCGGAAAAGGAAAATTGAGGAAATTAGTGTCTTTAGTACGTAATTATTGTATAATATATTCGGAAGCTATAAAAAGAAACGAGAGCAACAGTGAATCGTTGAATAACTGAAAAGGATGTTAGTTATTCCATTAAAATTGACAAAAATTGAGTTAACCGTATTGTTTTCTAAGCGATTCGGTAATTGCTAATGAAATATTTGTCCGAACGAACTTGAGTACGATGACTGGAACGAATAAAACGTTGGATGTAGAAGTTTCATTAGCAATTACTGAATCGCTTAGAAATCAATACGGTTAACTCGATTTTTGCCAATTTTAATGGAATAAATAATATTCTTTTTAGCTATTCAATGATTTACCGTCGAATAACTGAAAAAACCATTATTTATTCCATTGAAATTGACAAAAATCGAGTGAACCGTATTGTTTGCTAACCGATTCGGTAATTGCTAATGAAATATTTGTTCAAACGAACTTGAGTACGACGACTGGAGCGAATAAAACGTTGGATGTAGTAGTTTCGGAGCAGAGTTTCCCGGTTCGATTATACAAGTACTCCGATAAGTCTGCAAACAACCGATACAACCGATATTAAACGTACGCTCGGAATAATTTCGAAGCACCTTGATGCATCGAGAGGAAAGTAAACGGCGGGAACTGTGTCAGCGGTGACACGGGGGTATCGAGTATTCCGCTGAGCGATTAGATATGACATTTGACTTCTGACATTGGAAATAACGCGAGTAATTCAGAGAAACGTTCCGCCCCCAAACGCCGCGATAGAAAAATACCGTCCCGCTCCAGTTCTAAGCAGTTTTTATCTACTTTCCTAGAAAACTTGTTTACCAAACTTCGACTTATCGACCGACGAGAACTCACTTTCCTGGACGGAGCTCCAGGAATCCACGTCAAAAACATTCGCTTCGCGGCGGCTCCCGTGACAAAGTGAGCCGTATAAAACAAAGTCAGCGATTCGCTCGCGAAAACAATGAATTCCGTGAGATAGACGGATCATCTAATATAACGAACAGAAATCTAATCGGAGCTCTGAATGTTATAAACACTCGAAAACTGGAGCTGTTTACCTTCAACCCTTTGCACTCGAGAGACTCACCTGATTTCGCACTGTGAAACTATAAAATTTGATACTTAATATCACACCTTATACAACGCGTCAATTTGAGAAATATCGAAATAAATTAGCCTTGTTCTTCGATGTGCGTTATGATTTATTAGTCTCACAAAATATCGTTTTCACCTCGTCGGAAAACGTTAAAATATTTCTAATGAGAAACTTCCGAGTGCAAAGAGTTAACCGTCACCTTGATTTCGTTCGAAGCGGAGCCAGTTTCAACGTGAATCACTCGATCGATCGGCTCGACGTGCGAACGAGTCAATTAATATCGCTCGGCAGCTTATAATCGTTTCTCTCGATCCCACTCCGTCGATTCGCGAGTGTCGTGCGCGTATACAGAATACGATACTTCAGAAACGGATCGCTAGACCGGAGAAAGGAGTACGCCGGCGCACTTAGCAAACCTGATCAGACGATCGCGTGATGCGGATCGATTGCAATATCGGTTTCAATCGTCTACCTATCGCAGCCAGATGAGGTAATTGTCGCAGCAGGGCGGGCTGGAAGGTCTCTGGTATATCATTGCTCCCGATCCGATCGACTCAACGACACGGCGACGACTTACGATCGAGTCGCGCGCCGGTCGAAACCGGTGGGATCGTTTAATTAGACGTTGACGCTGGATTTACGGACGTTTAACACTTTGTTTAACACTTATTCCATCGGTTCTAGAAAACTACGTGTACATTTGTATGAATCGCGAGAATTGCAGCTTCAGAGTGTTGCAATAGCATAACTGCATGAATTGAAATCGACTGAAACTGCTACCAAATGATGTTTAACATTAGAAACGATGATAGTTTCTGTAACATCAGAAAAGACATGTTTCTCCGAGAAGTTATTCATAAACTTGATTCAGCTACATCTCAGTGTATTATTAAATCGACTTCAACGATTTCCCAGAGAAGCATCCGTAGCCCCTCGGTAATCGTATAAAAAGAAGTCAGGAACGGGTCATTCTGGGAAGACAGCGCGTCTTCGTCGCGACGGTGCATTTCTGTCTGAAGCTACGAAAAATATGAAACCGAGAGATCTCGGCCGGCTCGTGTCTCAGGTGCATTATCATTGCACCGGAGATGCAGATTACTCGGAGACGTTCGGCCGAACTGTGCCAATGGGGGCGCGCAGCCTTTCACTGGGCCGGAAAGGCGCCGTAGGCAGCGGACGGGAAAAAACGGAAAGGAAATTATTCGGATGTCTGTGCCCGGGGTTGCGTGTCCTCGCGTGTACCGGATTCGAGAGAAGATATTAGAACCGAGACGAAAGCGAGCATCTTTTCGTCGCATCGCGAGCGAGGAAATACTTTCGTCGAAATAGCGCAGAGTAGTAGACGCAAAAACGATAACATTTGGAAACCGCTTTGAACAGTGCAGCTCGCAGAAAGGAGAATTAGCTTCTTCGGTTCCAATTAGTGAGAAACTACTCGAAGCGAACGCTGAATAGTTTCCAAAGGTTCGCATTAACAGTAGATTTACGGATCTTGTTATCAGTTTGACCGATACCACGATGTTAGTCGCGAATGAACAAACTGAAATTTGTTGCTAAATTTTCTGGAGGAAGGATTTTCATCTTACTACGAACTCGGTCGCTCTGTTGCGAGGATTTTCCCGAGTACTAATCAATGAACTCATTAATCCCTGTTTAACACTAGATTACGGCGTGAATTTGACGGATACTGAATGTTTCAACACTAAAACTGCCGAGCAGTTAAGTCGACTTTGTGAAATTTCTCTATAGAAACTCTGAGACTGCGTCTACCGAGACTTTAATAATTTAGAATTCAGTTTGCGTGTCGCTAACTGGTATTTCAAAAAATTTTCGTCCGCGAAGGGTTAATTCTTAGAAATCTAGCCGATAGAATATCTTATTATTTCATGAGTATTGAACGAGCGATCAGTTGTAATGTAATTGAGTATCTTTTTAAATGGTTTGGTAGTTAGCAAAGTTACCAGTACGCAATGTTAACTTATAATTCTCTTCAAAGGGTTAATTCCTAATGTTTCGATGTCCCATTTTTAACCAGCGAAATTCGC